TACTAGATTTGTCCTTTCCCACCCAGCAAGCACTGATTTTTGACCCTGTATTCCCAGCAGAGCCTGAAGCTAACACAAATCTTTCTTATATCTGCTGGCATCTACAACAGCCTCATCCATACCATTACTAGCCAAACAAGAATATCTCCCAACCACATGTAGCAGTCAATGCTGAAAAGGGCAGATCCTGATCTCTCTTACACCACCTCACATCCAGCATTCCAAGGAAATACACGTCTTAATATGTCCAATGTTGTAAGCATTCCAATGAAACACGCTGACAACACGTTTTGCTTCTCCCCCACCCCAAAGTTAAACTGAGGGATTCTTGGCTAGTCCTCTCCAGCACCACTGGCCGCTTTGTGTCTCACCAATTTGAGTCTTGGAAGCCAGGAAATAGTTTCATCATCAAATTTGTGTCACACACCAAAAGCCTTTTTCTTTCCAGCAATCTCAGATAGTCAGAAGAGCTCACCCTGGTAAATGGCTTTCACCCAGAACACCTTCCTGCAACTCAGGCAGCCTGTTCAATCTGGGAGCAGAATGGCAGCTACACGTGTCTAGAGAGGAAGGTGAGTTAACAGTATTTTTTTTTTTTGTCAGACATTATTCCCTTTCTTGCTTTGACTTGGGTTTCGCCCACAATCAGGTATGAAAAATATATCTAACATGGACTCCTCTGCTTCAGAAAATCACGACTAAAAGGACTTTCTTGGTCTTTTGACAGTTATCACAGTGAGGAAGAAAGAGAAATTCCAGATTAGGTTCTTGGAAAAGTGGGAAAAATTAGGACACATTTTCTCTACACTAATCTGTCTCTCATTGGTCATCAGATGCAGAAGCCTACAAAGAAGATGCTGACAGATGTGCTAAAGGAGATTGCTAGTATCCTTTCTCTGTTAGTGCCAATGTAAGAGCAAACAATGCTGGCAACAGCAGCACCAATTCATTTTTTGACATCTAAATATAAAGTAACTTAATCCTAAAAAATGCAGACCGACAGTAGCAAGAACACAAACTACTCATCCTCGGAGTACCAGTTCTCTAGGATGCCAGACATCTTCCTAAACTAACTTCCGTGAATTTGGCCCATTGTTTTTAACTCAGCAATTCAAACTCTACTATAATTTCAATGTCTTAAATGGCTTGTTTGTTTGTTTTTCTGTTTTAAAGACACTTATTCAAGATGTAGATGTTTTGCATCAGATATTAAACTATTTCCAGAGTTCAGTACAGGTAGATCAAACCACCTCTAAAAAGAAGCCCGTTCACCCAGCTGCCCTACAAACAATCAGCATAGTGGCGAGCTCAATCCATTGGGATGAATTTAAGCTAAACTTGCACGCAAATCATTCAACTGGGCTATCACTGAAGAACAACTGAACGCTAGCATGTTTATCATTCCTAAGCATCTAAAAGCCATATAACTTCATTTTGTTTAAGAACCAAACATCATGTCATTGCCACAACTTGCTTGAATACCTTTCTTACTAGCGCCTGAAGACACTTTTCGTCTCTGTATCTGTGTATTCCTTACAAACCCTTAAGCAACTCTGAATGACTTTTAGGCAGTTTCCGCCTCACGTTTACGTTAAAATTCAGTGTAAGATTTCAAGAAGTTATTCTTTTTAGCTAGAAATATACATACTTTTCTTACCATTTCCAACAAAGGAAAGAACGCACAAGCTAAAAACGAATATAACTATCAACTGCATCAAGTCTGTCAGGCATTTAAATTAAATTGATGTAGGATACACTGATTAAATGTAACAAAAAGCATCTTCTAGCATTAGACTCATTCAGTTAGCTCATAATTATCAACAAGGAACATTTCAACACAAGTTCTGTAAACCCAAAACACTCTGAAGATGCGCAAAAGGTGCCAATATCACCTCATTTTCTTAAACCAAGCAATCCTCACCCCTAGGTTTATCGATTCCTTTGTCACAGTTTTCCCCTTCTCTTTTGTTTTGAACTCTTTCCTTAAGAAATAAACCCAGGCCTTGAAATTTTTCAGGTGAAGTGATGTTTGCAAAATGGCATCTTAGGTTTTTTGTATTTTCCTCCTTCATGAGCAGGCAATGTTCTCCTACACCAACGAAAAAAATGTGTCTGTGTGTTTTTTGGAATTAAACAACATAAGGCAATTAAATATTGAGAAGCAGTCACATGAATGATGAACATCAACCTTCCCATCAGTAATGTGGAAGAGGAGGAGCTGAACTGGATCTGATTTATAACCCCGTGTCCTAGGCTAGGTCTGAGGATGTCCATCTCTTGTAGCAAGGAAACAAACAGTTGTTGCCTGCACAGGTAGCACCTTGCCCATGTTCTTTTAGGTGGAAGAAAGATGCTAAGCAGATGCTTGCTAAACTGAAGGCCATGAAAAATCAGTTGGCTCTTCACCACAACATCAAACCTAATTCATAGGTTTTTGGCCCCCAAATCCCAAACTGCATGTCAATCTGATTTTGAAAGTTTACGCTTAACATGTCGGGGGGGTTCCCAAGTATCACTATCATCTGTTTCTTCCTCATCTTCCTGATCTTCCAGCATTTCATCTTCCTCCTCGTTCTCATCAAACAGCTCTATTCCAAGTTCTAATCTTCTTTGCCTTTCTGCAAACCACTCTCTGACCTGCTCATATCCCATGTGAGATTTGGCTACCAGTTCATCAAGGTCTTGCTCATTAAGGAATTTGTGCTTCATATAGTAGTCCTTCAGGATTGCTGTTCCAGTTTTGAATTTTATGACAGACACACCTCTGTCCCAACAATTTAACCTCTTGCTTCCTCGAGGCCTCCCCCGAGGCCTCCCTCTCCCTCTCCCTTTTGGTCTTCCTCTCCCTCTCTTCCTTGCAAAGCCTTGGCCGTTCAGACTGTTTGCATTGGCGCTCTGGTAATAATAATACCATTTCAATCCACCATTTTTCCAGGCATAGCGAGTATCTCCAAACCAGCTCACAATTTCTGATCTTGGCAGGCCAGTTTCTTCTGCCAGCTTGTTGTATTCTTGTGGAGATGGCCACTGAGTACGGACAAAGGAACTCTTAAGCATGTGCAACTGCTCTGGTGATTTTTTGCCTATTTTGCTTGAACACCCTGATTTTGCTCCTGCTGCTCCATCTCCCACAGATGTTTCTCCAGCCTCTTCTTTTGAGCTGCCAGCATTGCTCTCATTCAAGTCAGCTCCCTCTTCCTTCAAGACATTCGATTTCCTTCTTTCTGTAAACCAGGCATCAATCTCTCTCCTGGTCAGTTTGGTTTGCGCTCTTAACCTATTCATCTCTTCATCAGTAAGGACGGGGTTATTAAGAAAACTTGCTTGGAGGACTTGCAGCTGTTCAGCAGTCTTCTCTTTGAATTTCTGTGGGGTGAAATCAGGAAAAGCACTCCACGATGACTTGCTCTGTGGAGGGACTCCCGTTGGAGACTCATTCATTTCATCACTTGAATCAATAACAATGGTGGCACATGAATCACTGTTGAGATGAATCCCATGATTATTCTTTGAGTTTCTCTGATTGTAGCGTGTATCACTGAACCACTTTTTGATCTCTCCTTTAGTCAGGCCTGTTATTTTCATAAGTCTAACAATTTCTGAATCTTGAGGAAACTGATTTTTAAGGTAGCTGACTTTCAATTCGGCCAGTTGTTCCTTAGTTTTTTTTGCTCGGATGCCAAAGGAGTCAGGATTAATCAGCGCGGACTCGTTTTTGACAGGCTGAGGGGCTGGAACAGCAGCTACTTGTTTGGTTTCTGCAACAGGCTGAGCGGTGTGAATCTGACTCTTCTGTAACTGTGTCTGGTTTGGGACTCCTGCTACAGTCAAAGCTATCGGGGCTGTTACTGGTAACGTATTTGCACCTGCAACTTGAGTGAGAACAAGTCCTGGCTGACCCACTATTTGGCATGTCTGTAAGATTGAAGGTAAACCATTGCTAGCGGCGGAAATGTGTGCTGGAATAACAGTAATTGTCTGTGGCACAGTATGCACTGTGCCATTAAATTGTTTCCTCCTTGCTTCCTCCACTTCCTCTGGCGTCCAGCTCACACCGTGTTTCAGACGCTGGGCAGAAAACCATATTTTAATCTGTTCCTCTGTGTACTTAGCTTGAGTGGAAAGAACAGTGATTTCCGACATAGTTGGATATGGGAATTTGTTGTAGGTGTTAAGCAAAAGAGGATTGTTATCCAAAGCGGTATTATAGGCTGGAATGCTATTTACAGGTATTAGGACTTTTGGAATCAGGTTTGAGTTCTGTGGAGCTGTAACAGCTGTTATAACCTGCGCCACACCAGGCTGAAGCACCGGTGCTGGAGTCACTACCGCACTAGCCACATCTGCTGCACTGCAAACAACTGAATGGCTTCCTTTTGACTCAGAAACTGTCGGTGGTGGGTTTTCTACTACTTCTTCAGAGTTTGGCTCATTTTCAGTTCCCTTTTCCTCACCAGGAATGTCATCAACTACATTGTGGAAAACAGCAATACGTTTAGTCTCAGTTTTGTTTTTCATCATTTTCATAATAGGAGTTTTGCTAATTGAGATCCCTGATGAGGGGACCTCAGAAGAGTCGGCCTGTTCAGTGTTTTCTTCTCTAACAAAACTCCCATCGAAAGTGAGATCATTTACTGTTTGTTCAAAGATTGTCTGATTATTACGTTTCACCATGGTCAATTTAAAATTCTCCTCTCCAGGGTGGTACTTCAAATTATGTTCTGAGAGAGCATCATATCTTTTGGTAAGGAAATTGCATTCTACACAAACGTAGGATGAATTTAATACTACGTTGGGATGTTCTGAATCCACATGAAAAGTAAACATATTGAGATCTGGAGTTTGAAAAGTACAGTATTTACACTCGTAACCACCTTCTACTTTATTTGTATTTTTCTGATTGTCTGAATCCACGTACTCATGAACATCCTCATCACTTGTTACGCTCTCTGCTGTAGGGTTATCCGCTGGCGCGAGTACAGGTGGTCCTTCCTCCAAGTCTGATACCATTTCTAGATCTGGATCCTGCTCGTTGGCTAAGACCATGCACGGTGTTGTTGATTTGCGTTTACTTGCCATGCCTGTTATGTGAAAATGATACTGACTGGTCACAGTCAGACTTAGCTTCAAGATCCTCTTGATTAATAATAATGGCTTTTGGTACTTCAAGTCAGTTCTTGTAAAGTCTCAACATTTATCCCATTAGCAGCTTTTCTTTTGTAGTGCAATCAGATTAAAAATAGATAGTTGAGGATGAAATGTTGAGACACACTGTTTTAAAGTCCACATCCACCACCTGTAGCAAAGAAGAGACAGGGGAATTAGTTCAATTTAAAGAGTAACTTCTATTCTGCTACATATTTTGGCTTAAGGTAATTAAGCCCTTTGGGGTTCAATCTGCCACTGTTCATCCCCTGAAACCAGAAGACCCATTCCAGAAAGAGATACTCGAAACTAACTTAAAAAAGGCAAAATACAATCCGCTTATTACAGGCCGAAATTTGTTTTAGTTCATGGCAATGCAAGGAAAGCACAAAACATGGGATGGTGTAAACCAGGTAACTTTCTGACTGTTTCTTTCTTCAGAAGCCTTTTTCTTAGCTGAGGTCAGTTGTCCTACATAATTTTTGCAGTCTTGCCTTTGGACTACTTTGCCAATGCTACGACAACTTCCCTGTGAGCTCAAGTCTTTCCAACCACAAATTCAACCCCAGTATGACACCTCCACTATCAACTCTGCCATGTCTTCCACGTCAGAAGTTGTGAGGTCCCAGAAAAGGCAGGTTTAGAGTGTTTTTCTATTGTATTATATATGTGACTATGAGCATGTGCAGAGCCTTTATCCCAAGTCTGAAAACAGGCAAAACAATGCCTTTTTATGGCACTTTGACAGACAAAAGATGACTATCCTTTCTTCCTTGCTCCCCAAATGTCATTCTCCAATTGAAGACCAGTCTCAAACCAATAAAAGTTGATTGCTAACACATGGCAATTAACTAAAATGTGTTTTCATGCCTCTATGCATTAACAGGCACATGATTGATTGTGTAAACTGTACCAGAGAGAAAAAGCATTGAAGACTGATACAGCAAGCAGAAGCCAAACAAAATTATGTATTCTCTGCTTAGAATTCCTTGTCCATTTCTAAGAAAAACTAAAGTACCATCAAATAAAGTTGAGCCCTACAGAAATTCAGAGAATAAATAGCATAGACTGGAGTGAATTTTATCCCACAGGGACCACAACTAGTCTGTTGGAAATGATGCAGAAACTTCTCCAGAGGGGTTATAAACTCTGTAATAGTTTTCTTCTTGAAATAAAATAAGACACTGATTTCTCATACCAGAAATCCCATAGGTACGTGCATTTTTAGACAGTGGAACATCATCTACTTCCCAAAGTGGGGGTATGCTCAAGTTCAAGAGGAATACTCAGTAGCTGTTTCAGAAGGTTTAGAAAGGGAACAGCATGTAACAGGTTAAAACCAGAAGGCCTGCTTTGTTCATGACAAAGTCTTCAAGGAAAAAGAACAGTGTAAAAGGAAGAAAGGCATTTACAAGAAATGGGAAGGGGAAAAGAAATACTATTTTTCACTGTACAATGATTTTTTTATTATTATTATGGGAGGGCAGAGGCTGTGGATAGGAAGGAAGATAAATAATTCTTAGCTTCACATTTTTTCTTTAGGGAAAAGTCAAAAGTGTTCATTCATAGCTTCCACCCAGTGCTGCTCCATAAGCTCTGTTTTTGAAGCTCTGTGCCTTACCTCACTTTTTCACAAAAATCCTCCCCAAATGTTTTTAACAGTCACCCTCCACACTACTTCTGTGCCTACATCCAAAGTGCACAGCCTAACATGATAGGCTTTTTATGCCAAGGATAGGGTTACATGGTATTAAGGACACTGACAATGCTCAATAAATCTTGGGTTATCATCATTCCAGGATGATAATTATTTAATTGTACTGAGGTTGAAAGATACCCTTCTTCCACAAGTTAATGCTGGCAGTCTGTAAAACTGCAAAGAAGTGTAGAAGATACTTATTTTAATGTATATACTAAGTATGTATTGCAGGCCATCTCATTTATCTTGGCAGTGAGAGAACCATGAAGCAAAGCTAAATGGATCCATTTGTCTCGGTGTCCTGAGGGATGAGAGGTAGAGCATTATTAACCGTACTGCTTCTCTGTGGGGCTAGAGGGCTCTTCACAAAAGAAAGACAACTGCCAAGACTCAATGTTGAGCAATGCTCTTGGGGAAGAGCTGGGTGGTATTACCTAATCTTTCTGCGATCTTGAGTAAAATTTCAGAAACGCCAGAAATGCCCATTTTCAAAAGCTACTTAACAGCTAGTTTTGCTGACTGAAGCTGCAGTTTGAAAAGCGACTGTGGTACTCTGCAGTGTGTCATCCCTAGTGCAGCACGTACAACCTATACACAGGGCAGCCCAAGCGAGCTTACGGGCTCGCTGAGGGTCCTGTTCTGGGATGGCACAGAGCGCAAATGAAAGCAATGTTTGACCTGACAGGCAGTGTTGAAGCATGCTTGAGATAAGGCTGAAGATAACAAATAAAATGGGAAACCTGTCCAGCAAATCAATAAGCATTTTTCTCCAGTTCCCTCATTTACCCAATAGCCTTCACAGTGCCTGTAAGCCTACAGGTCCATGTTCAATTGCATCACCTGTAGCCTTTTAGCTAAATCTCTGTATTGCATCTATGTTTGCTGTGGTTCAGTTTCACCCATGATCCACAGGCAGATTATCCTGTCCCTCCAACGTTTACCAACGGACCAACACCTCTCTTTGATGCAAGCATGTCTCAGAAAAAGAAAGCTGCATCTATGCTCTTCTGCCTATGCCATGTAAGATTTTTTTTTTAAAAAAACAATTTCAAAACCCTGTTTAATTCAGGGCTACGAAGAGCTACAAAAGCATTCACTAAAATCTCAACAAAACGACATGCTTGCAACCCTTTGCAGCCTTCTTTCCTCCACAAACTTTACAGAAACCTCTGTTCCCTTCTCCTTGGTGCTAATAGGATTATTCCATCTGTAGCACCCTGTCTGACATGTTCTCTCAGTTTACCAGGGAATTATGAAAACTCACACTCGAGTAGTTTATCAAACCCAGTATGCATCACCCTTGTATGTCAGTTCCTCTAAAACACCTCTCCTGTACTGCTTACAGGAATGTCATGTGGGACCTTGTCACATATCTTCCCATCAGTAAGGTTTGCAACATCCCATTCCAGTGGGCCAATTACTCCAGCAAAAAATGAAATCAGATTGACTTGACATAGTCTAGTTTTTACCAATCCACCTTTTTAAGAACATTGTTACAATTCTCTAGGTTCTTACAGACTGATTTTGAGTGAATTCTTGCTGTATTGTCCTGTGAATGAAGATCCTGTTGTCCTCTGCTCGTGTCTCTTCCTCATGTCAGACTAGGTACTATGTTTGCCTGTCCCAGGACCACTGAGACCTGCCCCCATCCTCCATGAATTCCTAAAGATCATCGCTAATGGTTCAGAGATTGCTTTGGCTTGTCCCTTACATACTTTAGAGCTCAGTACATGACTCAATATTGTTTAAGATTTTCTATTTTTGTCTGGATTGTATTTTTAGCCCTCGCTGTTAATATTGAAAGCATATTGTGCAATTTGGTTTGTAATGAAATATTTCAGGTGTTTGCTTTATGTCAAAGCAGCATTTTTTCAATGAAAGAATCTAAAGAAAAAGTTTCAATTAGTTGTACTCTTAATCTCTCAAGACATTAATTACTGCAACCCCCTTCTGTAATTTTACCTCAGATTTTCATACAATTGACATTCCTAACAAAACCATCCCGTGAAACAGACATTTTTCCAGGAACATAAAAGAGTAAGTGTAGGCATAGTATTTTGAAGGTCCAGGATCTTGTATTTTATCTTTCAGCAGTCAATTGCTCAGGACACTGCTCTTCAGAAACAGACCATAAGCAGTTAATAATCCGAATTGATTAATAATTATATTAAGACAGACTTATTCTCTAGTGTGGTATTCAACATTTAAAGTTGCCTCTACAGCAGATTCGGATAAAGATTTATAGAAGTATTTTCTAAATACAGGCAGAAACCTTCTGCCCCTTTGATTGTAGTTTGAGAAGGAAAAGACACAGGGTTGACATCAGAAGACACATGTAAAAATCTGTTTCTAGCACAATTTTTTTACCCACCTCTTCCTTCCCTCCCCAAAACAGGAGTAGCTGATGCAGCAAGAAAATAAATGAGATTGCAGAAAGTGTTCACTGTGTGTGCAGGTTGTATGCTTTATGAAAAGGCATTTCTCCCTGCTTGATGTGACATTTCCATCCAGCGTGTGGGAAAAGCATGCCAACAAAAAATCCAAACCCATATAATGTGATTTTAAGAATATGGACAAACAGGGTGGTTCAGGAGAAGACGAAGCCATAGAAACTGCTTCTACCTTTTAAAATCACCTAGATTACAAATTGCCTACAACCTACCTCAACACAGAAAATGTTTTGTCTTCTTATAGCTTCTGATTAATTCATGACAATATGCAATTGTCGATCCTTTCTTTAGCCTCCTTCTAACTATTACCATTTATTTAGCATAGATGTATCCATGTCAAACACTATTCTGCACAGAGCTCAGTATAAGATAATCTGCTCTAATCTATGCTGCCTCTCAGCGAGAAGGGTCAAGGACTTTGTTTTATAGTACCACCTTCTTCAGTTGTTCATTATCCGCAAAGTTCAGAGGGCACTGCTGCTTATGACTCCAAAATAAAGCCAACTTTCTATCTAAACCCTGCAATATTCACATTTGATTCCTGCTTTAAAATAAGGTCTGCTTCTAATTCAACACAGGAGCAGAACTTGTCAAACCAATGTGAGCAGGACTTCACGTGTGCTACCAAGATAAGGGCATGCTTAGGGTCCTTGCCGCACTACAGTTTGTAATGAGGGAGGCATGTACCAAAAGCTACTGCGCTGCCTGTCCACACACAGCTTCAGGGTATGCCAAAGCCAGACCCATTCTGGAGCACTGGGAAGCCAAGACAAAGCCCAGTGGAGGCTGGAAGGAGCCTGCCACAGG